ATCAAATCAGTCTCTTCCCAAACACAACTCCAAATGCTCCTTCCAGCATTCTTAGTTCACAGTTCCGTCCCATTGCAGTCATTCCTCACTTTTATTCTAAGCTCTGCTCTTCCTGCTGGTGTCTTTGTGGTTAGTCTTCTTCACCCGCTCCTGAAACATTTTGTTTTATTTACAGTGGGGCAAAAAAGGATTTAGTCAGCCACCAATTGTGCAAGTTCTCACACTTAAAAAGATGAGAGAGGCCTGTAATTTTCATCATAGGTATAGAAATTCTTTACAAATCAGACAATGTGATTTTCTGGATTTTTTCCCCCATTTTGTCTCTCATAGTTGAGGTATACCTATGTGACAATGCGATTTTCTGGATTTTTTCCCCCATTTTGTCTCTCATAGTTGAGGTATACCTATGTGACAATGCGATTTTCTGGATTTTTTCCCCCATTTTGTCTCTCATAGTTGAGGTATACCTATGTGACAATGCGATTTTCTGGATTTTTTCCCCCATTTTGTCTCTCATAGTTGAGGTATACCTATGTGACAATGCGATTTTCTGGATTTTTTCCCCCATTTTGTCTCTCATAGTTGAGGTATACCTATGTGACAATGCGATTTTCTGGATTTTTTCCCCCATTTTGTCTCTCATAGTTGAGGTATACCTATGTGACAATGCGATTTTCTGGATTTTTTCCCCCATTTTGTCTCTCATAGTTGAGGTATACCTATGTGACAATGCGATTTTCTGGATTTTTTCCCCCATTTTGTCTCTCATAGTTGAGGTATACCTATGTGACAATGCGATTTTCTGGATTTTTTCCCCCATTTTGTCTCTCATAGTTGAGGTATACCTATGTGACAATGCGATTTTCTGGATTTTTTCCCCCATTTTGTCTCTCATAGTTGAGGTATACCTATGTGACAATGCGATTTTCTGGATTTTTTCCCCCATTTTGTCTCTCATAGTTGAGGTATACCTATGATGAAATTTACAGGCCTCTCTCATCTTTTTAAGTGGGAGAACTTGCACAATTGGTGGCTGACTAAATACTTTTTTGCCCCACTGTATTTACTCTGCACTTTTCTGCTTCTTTTAATGCAAATCGTTCCTTGCTCTGTTTGACTACATTCTGTGCAACTTTATATTAAAGGAGGAGGAAAGGAAATATATATGCATTATGCAATATATTTCTCTCCTCCTTTTGTGCCTCATTCCTTTTCTTATTTTCCTTTTTTCCCCCTCATTCACAGGTTCTTTAACTTCATCGTTTCACCAAGCATCCATTTTCATGTTTCGCATTAGCGTAACTCTGCACACTTCAGTGACAGGCTGTAACATAATTATTTTCATCTTGTTTTAAGTAGCTTATACATTCACTTACATCTACATTCCATTCTTTCTGTTGGGGGACTAAGTATCATTCTGCTTTCACTTTAATTTCAGTTGTTTCTTTCCTTTTCTTTCATGTCCATTTTATCCCAAGATCTACTCTTCACCCTACCAAAAAATTATCTTACATTTAGAATCTTTCATCATCCTTGGCTCCTTCATTTATTGTCTCAATCCTTCACTGTAAAGCCCCAAAATCAATTATGCTTTTAAATTTATATTCATCCCTTTGCAATGCATAGATATTAGTATACACGCTTACACCATGTACTTGAAACAAAAGCACCTTTTCAAAGAAGATACTCACCAAAGAGTCGCCATTCTCATTCATTCTTGGGTCTCCAAAAGACCCAGTAATTTTTTCTGTAGTCTAGCTCCCAGCCATCCATTCATATTATCATCAGAATGATTTTTCCCTCCTGGATTTCATTCATTCAGAATATTGCACAGTTCTTCTCAAAACTCACCATTGGTTGTTCAGTGATCATCATTTATTGGAGCATAACTTGTAACCTTCCCTAACCCATCCTACTTTGTACACACCAACAGCCTAGATGATGCCAATTTCTACTTCCTGACATACATTTTAGCCCTTTCATTTTTAATTAAGCCTACAGATTTACTTCCCTGCATGTATTTGTCAGCTGCTCCACAAGATCAGACCATCTTCATATGAATCTTATATCCTTCCACTTTCTCCAAGATACACAGACACATCATTTTTTCCCCCTTTCATTCTTTAATTCATGCCCATTACCATTTATTCATCTGGGTTGCAATCTTCTGTGTGCCTTAGTTGTCACCAGATGGGCCCATACTTGTTGATCTCTGCCACCCATCATGGCTTGAGTCAGTTGAGGCTTTCACACAATGATTTTTACTAAAATAGAACATGTAGGCTAGACTACTAGTCTTGGCCATACCTGTGCCACATGCAACATTCCCTGCTAATGATAAGGACAGGTATATGTCACAAATGCAACCAGAGCCTAGTTTTACTGCTAGCACACACATGCAGTTCTATGCAAACTAAGATCTCTAAGCTAGAGACCAATTTGCAGTCCAGCATACTGTTCTAAATCCCATCAGTTAAGAATTATATGTATATAATTATATACATATCATTATATACCAATTAAGAATATAATTATATCTCTTTGACCTTCACTGCTTGAATGCATGGATGAAGTGCCTCTATATAGTCATCCAAGAAACCCTCTTTGCTGATGACTGTGCACTCCTGGTGCACAAAAACAGTGATCTACAGTTGAAGCTGAACATTCTGAGATGCTGCTATGCTCTTTGGCCTATCAGCCTGAACAAGACTGAAATTCTTTATCAGCCTGTGCCAAATACCAACCCCGTAGAACCAAAAATCACTGTTGATGACACCCAGCTGACAAACATAAACAGCTTCAAATACTTGGGAAGCATCATCTCGAGCGATGGGTCTTTGGACAAAGAAATTGACTCGAGGATCAGCAAGGCCGGCCAGGCACTGGGGCGGCTGTGTACTAGAATGCTCAATCAACACAACATCTGTATCTCCACAAAGCTGGAAGTCTACAGAGTTGTGGCTATCCCTTCTCTCCTATATGGACGTGAGTCCTGGACTCTGTACCAAAGGCACATCAAACAACTGGAGAAATTTCACATGGGTGCTCTTCACTCCATCCTTGGCATTCATTGGCAAGACTGTGTCTTCAACCTGGAGGTCTTGGATTGTGCAGACTCCACCAGCATTGAGTCCCTGATTATCAGAGCCCGGATGCGGTAGGTGGGACATGTCATCAGAATGGAGGACTACCATATGTCTCGCCAGTTGCTCTATAGTGTCCTGGAGTCTGAGAAGAGACCTCGAGGTTGACCACACTACACTAAGCACTGCAAAGAAGCTGTGAAAGAAACTCTATGCCACTGTGACATCTAGCCAACATCAGAAGTTGTGGTTGCTGACAGAATCCACTGGCGAGCCCTGTGCTATGAAGCCTCCACCAGCTTTGAAGACAGGCGCTGTTAAAAACTGATAGAAAACCATGAGTGGTGTCACAGGATAACACCCACAGTTACTACAGAATAACACCCAAAGTTAGTACAACAGTGGACTTCCAGCTCCTCCATGGTGCAAACTGGGACTGCAGACCCACCTCCGTGTCCACAGATGAACTGCACAACAGCGTGTCTTCTTCGCACTGTACTGACACATATTCAGGCTCTGTTACTACCTTTAATATATAAGACAGATGGACTGATTGATTGATTTCAAATACGGGCCCTTTTTTTAAAGCAGAGAATAGTGGATATAAACAGATTCTGTTCTTAATTGCATATATATTTTGGCAAATAGTGTGATTTTATTCTCATTGAAATCTGTGATAGCTTTCTTTTATACCCCTACATTCCAGTCGAATGATTGGACCCATCTCTTGCTTTAACTTAACTCAGTGCCCCTCTCAGAGACATAGATAAACCCAAGTTCTTCCCCACTTCATTCCAGTGTAGAAAGGAACTGGACCATCATCACTATTTGGGTAGGTGGGTTTCTAGCTTAACGGTTCACTGTACCCATCACTATGGGAGGAAGCTTCATTGAGTTCTATGGAATTTATTCTTTAGTCGTGTGGGTTGTTCTGCATTTCTTTCTTGTACTTGATAGAAAATACGGTGTATTTCTAATTTCAATTGTGTAAATGAGGCAAATGGTTTATCTGAATTCCTATCATATTTATACTGATGTATTTTTAGCATCATTCTGGCGCAGAAAGATGAATTAACAGTCAAGGGAAGAGACATGTTGAGGTTCCCCCCATATGACTACAGATAATTCTGCCTCCTCTCTTTTATTTCATCATTTCTTCCCTTTCCTGCTTTTTCCCTCCCCCCACCAAAAAAATATTTTATATGTGTGTATGCATGTGAATGAAGAGATTTTGAGAGCGAGAGAAGGGGAAACACTTCTCAGAGCTATATCTGATGAAGCAGACTGGGTAGGGAGTACGCTTATATGGAAATAAAGAGTTAGATCTTTCGGGTGCCAGAAAACATTGCTTTTACCCCAAATAGCAGCTTGGCCGACTTACACAGAAGTCACTTGAGTGCTGTGAATATTATTAAAGTTTGCCTGAGCTGTTCTGTTTGTCTGCGGTTGCCAAGGCCTGAGGCATTGTGATGTCCTGAGGGTTCAGCTGGGGAACTCCGCTGAACCTGGAGACCAGGTTCCTGAGTGCCAAGAGTGGTAGGACCACAGGGAGTCCTGTGGCTGATGATGGAAAAGCCGGGGAGTAGAGGAAACCAAGCCAAAGAAAGAGGGCCCCAAAAGAAAAAGGTGCCAAGAGAAAGTCCAAGATGAAGGGGCAAAATGTGCAGCTGAATGGAAGGAACACGGATTATGTTTTCTGGTCAAGATGTTTTAACTAATTGGAAAAGCATCTTGGATATTTTCCGTGGTCCTGCTCGTGGCAGTGCTTGAAACCACAGTATTGTTATCCACAAAGACCTCTTTGGGGATTCCAAGAGAAATGAACTTCCACCCCATAAATGTGGTTATCCTTTCTCTTTTGCTTATTTAGGCATTTACACTTAATTTCCTCCCTCTTCTTCTCCCCTCCCTTCACAGAGCTCACAGTTCTACAAAGTCACCACGGAGCAATACCAAAAAGCTGTGGATGCAGTAGAATCCCGGTTCAAGTAAGATCTTTTTTTTCTTCATTGTCGACTCTGTTTTGCTTTGGTTCTCGTAAATGCCATGAACATGTAATATATGTTGCAAATGTTGTTTTTCCAAGAAAGGATTTTGGACTGAAACAGCTGAATGGTACTTGTGGCCTTGAAACGTTGAGAGACACAGAGTGTGCTTTTTAGAGGAGCTTCATTTCTAGGATCAGCCTTATTAGAATGCAAAGAACTTGAGAAAGAGCAGTCAAAAACAAATAAACAAGCCATATTATAAGAAGGCTAAATTTACATCATACCCAAGGCCAAACACCAAGACTTATTTTTAACTGTCGTAGGAACTTTTGAAAACAGTTTTAAAAATACTGCTGCTGTTCCTGCTGCATTTGAAAGTCGAAATCTGCCTCTTCCTTATCGAGCTAGAAAGGTTTTTAAATCAGCAGTTGAAATTTGCCCTTCATGGTGCAGGTCAGGTAAAATTCTCTTTATTATTCCCCAGAGGGCTAAATGAAGATCCAGTAATTGCAGGAGCAACGTAGCTTTGACCCTTAGCCCTGGTCAATCTGCTGCTGCTAATTCTTCCAGGAAACCATCTTTCATCATATTTGAGAGCTTTCTTTTCAGAAAGTGAAAGGTCCCCATTTTCTAGCTGTCTTCTGAAAAAGCTGCCAAGAGAAGACACTGACCAGTACTCTGGTCTGGAAGCCTGTTGTTGCTGACAAGCTTTTTGCCTACAGGTTGCTATAAATTGCTTAATAATTTGATAAAGATCATAATTGGGGCCCTCACAGCAGCCTGCACTGGCTGGAGAATTCTAGAAGTTGAAGTCCACACATCTTCGAGTTGCCAAGTTTGCAAAACACTGCTTTAGACTCTCTTTCCATATGAAGGAATCTCAGGGATTTGCCCTGGTCTGCCTTGTGAAGTGTATGTTCAGATACAAATGTTTCAGGTATCTTCTCAACATGAAGGTAACTTGGAAACTAAATGTCTGGAATCCTGAAGGTGCGGAGAGATGAAACTCCTGTATGGTGACTCAGCCACCGCTGTGCCTTGGCCACTGATTCTCTGTTTTGACTGAAAGTTGCTCCAAGTCTTTCCCTGTCAGTTGCAAGGGGCTGATCCTTGGTCACCTGTAGATGCCTTCAGAGAAAGCTGGACAGCCACTTGTCAAGATTTTTTAATCCTGGGACCGGACAGAGGTTGGGCTTGATGGCTCCATGTCCACCTCCCTTTCTAGGATCCAATAACACAATGGTCTGTTTTGTCCCAAGTTGTGATTACTCCTTTCCCTAGAAAAGACCTGCATTTGACTGCATGGATGGATATGGCCCTGGGGTTCCATCGTTATGCTCTCCTGGGATCAAGTCTGTGGGGCACAATAGTGGGTTACTTATGAATTAAGATATGGGGGACCGCATCTCAACCACAGAGATCTACTCTGCCTGGCAAAGATCCTAATATTACCAGTTTGAAAGTAAGCCAAACGGAGTTTAACAATGGGAAAGAGCTCTACCTAATACCCTAGAGAACAGCTTCTTTGACAAAAAGGGTGTTCTGGTACAAAGTAGCATCTGAGAACCTGGAGAACAGAACTTTATGGATATTCTTCCCTAATCCTTAATATTTCATTGATGATTAAAATAGTGGCTGATGTGGGTCTTCCGGGCTGTGTGGCCGTGGTCTTGAAGTCTTGTTTCCTAACGTTTCGCCAGCACCTGTGACCGG